GCATAGTGGATATTGTGTTATGCATTATTTGCTTATTTGTGCATTTTGTTAAGCTTGGCCTACTGATAAAGTAAAATTGTATGGACTTTTAGTTGAGAATATATGAACCTTATGTTGTGCATAGTGGATATTGTGTTGTGCATTGTTTGCTTACTTGTGCATTTTGTCAAGTCTAACTTACTGATAAAGTAGAATCTTATGGACTTTTAGTTAAGAATAAATAAACCTTATATTGTGTATAGTGAATATTGTATAATGCATTATTTTTCTAACTTCAGTATTTTGTTAAGCATAGCATAATGGTAAATTGAAATTACATGGACTTTCAGGTGAAACTATATCACAAACTTTTTTTTTCTTGCAACTGTTTTTAACTAGCCGTCCTCCCGGGAGGCCACGAACAAGGGGGATAAAGTCTTTCAAGATAAAAAGATTTATCATTGTTCAAGATGTGGGAAGGCCGGACATAGTCATAAGACATGCAAGAATCCTAACCCAACATGAGAAGTGGTTACATTGTACTTCTTTGGTGTACACAAGCAACTATAATTATGTATATGAAAGAATTTTTAAATAATATTTTTTAAGTAAGTGGGAATCACAAATATTTTTTATTTATATATATAGAAGCAACTGTTAGATATTTGCGATATAGTGGCTAATTTTTTGTATATATCAAAAACTTGAAATATTGTATCAAATTTCATATGGGTATTTGTTTTAGTACCTAGGCTAATACCAACATGAAATTATTCATATATGATGTAATTGCCCTTCTTAATATTGAAAATGTATAGACTTTTTGTTGAGCATGCGTGGGTATCATCTTGTGTATGATGAATGTTGTGTCGTGCATGATCTGCCTAACGTCATTTTGTTATAACCTAAGCTAGTGAAATATTGAAAATGTATAAATTTTTTGTTCAGCACACGTGTACATTATATTATACATAATGGATATTATGTCATGCATGGTCAGTCTAGTCATTTTTGCTAAAGCTCTAGTGAAATATTTGAAATGCATGGACTTTCTATTAAAATACGTGGACATTATCTTATGCATAATAGATGTTATATCTTGCATGGTCTATTTCATTGTTTTAAGAGTTTACACAGGTTCTGAATTCAAATAAAACAAAGGGCAAAATCGTACTTTTTGTTTAAAAAAAATTGGCAATAAAGGCCTTAAAGCCTGCAGAGAAATATCAGATTCATTTAGGTTTAAATTGCAATAAAGTCTATTTTTAAGGCCTTTAATGCCATTTTTCAGAACTCAATCGAAAGGATAATTAAATTTAAAAATTAATTAAAATATATAATGATAAAAATGAATATAAATTTTTTTGTATATACTTTTGTCAGATATTTTTTTAAAAAATATTAAATTTAAAATTAATTTTTTTAAAAAATATATTACAAATATAAAATATATTAATAAGTAAAAATGTTGATTTTTAAAAAAATTTAGAATTAAATGATAATATTCAATTGTGAAAATTTAAAATAAATCTATCAATTTTAAACTCAATATGATATATAATTTTTTAGCAAATAAAATATAAAACTTAAAAAATAAAAATAAAACATATGCCAAACATTATAAAAGTATTCAGCAATGTTACTTTAATAGGTGTACGTGTAATAGTGTTCAATTTATCAAATCCTCATACCCACAATTTAAAAAAAGAGGACCAAATTTCTACAATCACCATCAAGAGTGGTGTGCCTCTGGGCATACAAGAATTTTCAAAATAATTATTTAATAATTTCTTGTGAGGATTTTACAAGTATTTAATCAAGCAAAAATCAAAATCAAAGACCGGAGCATATATTAGCATCTCAAAGTCATTCAAAGCGCAATGTACAAAATTATTTATATACAAAATAATCCTTCTCAATATTTATTTTGAAAAAGTTAAAATTTAAGCAACCTTATACTCTTTAACACAAGTATAATGTATATCATGTTTCTAAACACTCGATTAAAAAATAAGTTTTTTAAGACAAATCAAGGATGTCAATAGGCATATTAATTCTTAAACAAAATATGTCTAATAAAATATTTTATATTAAGGTGGTATGATCACAAACACTTTTGTCTTTTACTTAATTACTGGATATTAAAATAGAGCATAAGAAGCAAACGGCTGCTCTTCTCAAGCATTTAATAAATATACAAATTTAAAATGTTTCAAGTAAAACTAAACAGAGCTAATAGCCTTATCAAATTTTAAATATCACTATCTAGATACTTACTTATTTTCATGGATGATTTTAGATAATTGCACATCAAATGTTAAATAAATTTTACAAAATCATCCTGCTAAGGTGTGCCAATTTAATTATAAGGGTATTTGGAAAAAATAATAAATATAAGTGATAAAGAAGATTGAAGTTTTAGAACCAAAATAAACTCTTAAGTATTCAACTATTACATTTAGGACAACAAAAGTATATCACAACGCTCAATTATTAAAACTCTCAATTATTATGTATCGAAATTTTATCGATGTGGCCGCAGGGACAACTCTCAATTATTATGTTGGCCAGGGGTCAAGAAAAACAAACTAAAGCTGGTCCAAAAAGTAAAATAACATAAAGTTATTTGCCCATTCAGGGTTACTTCCTTTACACATTGAATTTCCATCAAGAAGAGTAATTTTTTCTTTAACTTGTTTGCATTTTCTGTGAGGGCCTTGTATATCTGGTATCTAATTAAAATTCTTCAAGCTGAGCATTATCTAGTTGATTCAGTCCATTTAAATCTGATTTTTTTTTATATTTCTTAACCTAAATAATTGCTTTTATGAGTTGATAGTTGGCATGTTATTTTTTTAATTTAGTTTATTCCATTTAAAATAAAAAATAATTTAAATTTAAATTCACAATATTCACTTGTAGTTTTACTTAAATTTATAAGTGATAATATATATATATATATATATTATGAAACTATCTATCCATTTATAATTAACTTTTTTATGTATTCATAAGAAATCTCTTCAAATTCATATAAAGTGACATTCTATCAGATATTTTAATATTTAATATTTGTGTGTGTGACAACTAAGTTTTTCTAAACTTATATGAAGTTATTGGTTATCTTAATAATTTTAGTTGCCAACTACGCATACAGTGATCGTGCACGTGCGTGCGGGTGGAGGGGTGTGTGTTTTTATTCGACAGTTACGGTGAATTGTTTGAACTCTTCCTGTGCTGCCTCTGGGGAGAAAGTTAATGAAGCCAAGTCTCCCAAATTCTATCCAAAAATGAGAAAAAGTATGTCAGAAAGATCAGCATTACAAATAATATTATTATTTATCAGCAAATTTAAATGTACAAATATACCAAATTTTATATGAATTGGATGTGATTTGATTTTTTTTTTTAAATCTTACTTTGTTGTGAATTTTTTTAGAGTTGGTAAATAGGAGAGCCTAGTTTATGCACAAAAACCTTGTCACCTTAAAATTATCCATTTTTCTAAGCTCAACCTTTGTATATTAATTAGGTTCAGAGTTGATCTCGTGAACCCTTTTTAATTTTTATTTATTTTTTAAATTTAAATTTTAAAATTTTATTTTTCACATCATAATATTTCATATTAATTTTCTAAAATAAAAATTATAAGATTAAAAAATTAATAATAAGTCATGTGAATCTTAATTTTAAAGTACAAATACATATTCTAAATCCTTGAAATTTAATATAAAAATTTAAAATTTCTTAATTGTAAGAATAAATATAAATACATATTTAAATGGGTATCCTAGCTAAGGCAATTTTTTCAAAGCATGGGTTGAGTTTAGAAACCTTTTTATATAAAAATATCTCAATTTTTAAAACTTAAGCTTTAAAAAATGGGCTTAAACAAATACCCTGATAAACATATTATTTTCTTTTTTATATCAAATCCGGCCAATATTTTCGACTTTAACTTTTGGCTATGCTAACTGTTGGAATATATTTTGTAGGTTATGCTATCGTGAATTACATTGTTATTGCGATGGAATTGAGTTAAATTAGGTTACATTATATTGTACAAGGATTATTATGTTCAGTATGAAGAGATCGTAAAATGCTAAATAAACTTCTATTTTTAAGTAAATATGTTTTTAAATTTTTTTTGATAGTAATAAAATTTGATTATTAATTCATTACTCAATAATCTTTTTTTTAACTTTGTGTTGAGAATTTTGTTGTTATTTACATTAAATATAGTTGAATTATGTTTGATTATACACAGATAAAATTTAGTGTAAAAAGAGGACAAAAGGCCTGAGAAATTTCTATTTTTAAGTTACTATGCAGCTAGATTTTAGTTTAAATAGTAGTATTTACAAAGATATTCTTTAATCTGGTTTAAATAGTTGTCGTCAACAAACTTTAAAGAGTGATTGGATTATGTGTGATGGTGAATGCACGTGGCTTATGATTTATTGAGTAAATAGTTAATAATTCTTTATCTTCCACTAACTCTCTCAATATCAATGAGTCACAATATTCTATTTATTCACCTCAATGGGAAAAATTGATCTTGAGTACCCTAATTTTAGATAAAAATATAGAAACCTATGCCTTATATTATCTATTGACAAAATGAATCTGTATAGACTTCAAAATAATACTCATAATAAATTGCCAATAATTTTGATAATTTATAACCCACTTACGCAAGAAATACGAATATATATAATGTTCTTCATGCCAATTTTAAAGCCAAAATACTTAAGAAATGATACAAATATATAATCAGTTTCTCTAATTGATGGTTTAAGTTTATTATGGGAGACACGTGTCGAGATATATAATAGATATAAGAAAGAAAAATTTAATATGAGAGTATTGCTTTTAGTACAATTAATTATATATGTGAATCATGTTTTACTTTTTTTATATGATGATGTTGATAATTATATCTTGCATGTTGTTATATTTGGGTTATGGTGTTTGTAGTTGTAACTATTTTTGTTGACAATTTATTTGTACTTTGTTGGGCTTGTAGTTGTCTTTTTCTGTTTTTCTTTTTTTTTGATTTTTTTTTTGGCCTTTTTGCCAGTGCTGTGTGATACTTATGTGTAATTCTCCCAAAAAACCACACACATGTACACATGCAACACCTTCATAGCAAAAATTGACATTAGGGCCAAACAAAGAAACAAAAAATACTGAAAAATAAATACTGACCTTTTTGGCTGGAGAATTCAACTCTGTTTTATAATGCCTTGAGTTTCATTGGGAAGTCTCTGTTTTTGGCTCACCAACTGCAAAAGCAAAGAAGGAACTTAAGGAACCATGAGGCAATGAAACATACATTACAAAATGAAATTCCTACACTATATATTTTTACTTTTTGTTTTGTGAAATTTAATTTACAAAGCAATCATGGAATTAAAAAACAAAAGTCAACATTGAAGGGCCCGTTTGGTTTCTATTTTTAAAAATAATTTTTTAATTTAAAAATAAAAAATTTAAAAACTTGTTTGGATAAATGTTTTTAATTTACTTCTTCCATTCAAAAAGATAAGACATTTTTAATCGAATCTCACCCTCCAATAAAGTAGTTACCTACTTTTCAGTTAACTCTATCTTTCTATATTTACCTCTATTAAACACCCTACAATAAATATAAAGTCATTATCAATAGGAGTATTTTTTTTTAAAAAAAATAATGATTACATATCAAAAGACTAGAAATATCTTAAATTTTTAAACATCCAACTCCTCAAAAAATGCCTTATATTTTTAAACAGAAGGAGTAATTATTTTTAAAACTATTTTCATTTTTTATTTTTAAAAATAAAAATATCTTAAAGCTGTATTCATTTTCTTTTTTTATTTTTAAAATATATTATATTTGATTATTAGAAATTACAGTTACCTTAACCAATGATTATTATAAGCCACTAACATTAACCGCCAATGATAATCAAATCAATTTTCTTAATTCTAAAATTATCTTTAAATTAATACAACCAGATAGATTTTTTTATTTTAAAAATAATTTTAAAAATCGCATGAAAAATAATTTTTAAAAATAAAAAATAAAAAAAAACCAACAGATCCTTTTATTTTAGGAAAATATCAATTCGTTCTTGTCCGTACCTTTTATAATTATATCCCACTCTCATCTTTTTCTTTTTTTAAATCTCTCTCATCTTTTGATTGATCCGATAATTGCAATAAGAAAACACCATTAGTCAAAATTTTAGTCTCCTCCTCTTCCTCATCATCATCATCATTCTAAATCTAAAACTTATTTACTTTTCATCAAAATTAATTAAGAGTTACTCTCTCTGAATTACAATATAGGATTAGTAATTATTTTGTGGTTCTTAAAAATAATTAAAACTTAAGTAAAACTTTAATCTATTGAAAAATTTATATCTTTGCAATTATATTCTTATTAAATATCTTATACATGCATTAATAACCATCAAAATTGTAATGCATCATTTTTCAAAAAAAAAACAATAAATGAAGTGGGAATGTTTATATAATTAAAAAATAATTATAAAAACTACTGAATTCTTTATATTTTATTTGAACTAAACAGAACTTTTATAAAATGCTTTACATTAAAGTAGGAAGTATGTTTTTAAAAAAGCAAGCATAATGGTCTTTCATTTCTCCTTCACAAGTGATTCATAGAATCAGATGTGATATTAAACTCCTAAAGCTTTTAAATATACAAAAGAATAGAGTTAACATATTTCACTAGAAATAAGGAGGATCATCTTTAAAAAAGCTATAGATATACATATAGGTCATCAACAGGTAATAAGGTTAATCTAACTTAATTAGAGGTCCTATAAGGAGACACACCCTCCAAATAGTTGCCTACATGTTGTCAAGAGTATTAGTTTGAATTAAAGACTTGGAATATCGGAGCTTATGCAAAAAAGGGGGTGATAACATATATGTAGGTTCTTACAATTTCATTCAATTTTAAATTAAGTCTTTGTAGTTTATTTTATTTTAATTGAACCCTTACAGTTTGATCAATTAAATTTTTTAATCCCTAAGAATTAAAATCCTTAAATTTTCCTTTAAAAAAAATAAAATTAAGAACTTTTATATGTTATTAAATGATTATAGGACTTTAAAATTAATAACATAATTTTTATAACTCAAAATTTATATAATTAGGTTGTCTTTTAAATATTTTTATACATATAAAATTATCTTTAGAAAAATAATAAAAATATAAATAGTTTATTAAATCAAATTTTCTTTTTTCTTTTTATTTTGGCCAAAAGTATTAAATTAAGTTTTCTGTAAACTCTAAGAATATTTTTGTTTTATGAAATTTAATAATTCATTATTAATTTTAACTTCAAAAGTTAACATATGTAATAGATCAAACTATAAAGACTTGATTAAAATAAAATAAATTACAAGTATTTAACCTAAAATTGAGTAAAATTGTAAAGACATGCAAATATATTTTTTTAAAAAAAATTGGTTTCTTTTCAATGGGCTGCACTAGGATTTGAAGACTGAAGAACGTACAGGAATTAAGCTTCAATCACTGCGAGGTAATAATTTTCCATGTTTCGCACATCCTTAATAGAAGAATTATCTCAGAAAGGAATAAAATTCTGATCCAACAAACGCTTCTGGATAACCTTCGTCTCGATAGGCATATATATCAAACAGCAACAAAATATATACTGCAAATTAAAATTAAAAGTTATAAGAAAAGGTACCAGCAGATAGCAAAATAAAAAATCAAAACTTAATATAATATGAAGGAATATAATATATAAGATCACAATCTATGTTATGACAGATAGAAATATAAGAATATAAAGAAGGTTTTTACCTCAAAACCACATGCAATAATTGAACCGTTTGGATGCAAAGAAAATCCAGAAAGAAGCAACTCAGGCCAAATTTGTAGTATCTGAGAAGAGAGAGCTTCTGATAGATATCATGGGAGCTCCCATATGCAAAGATGAGAAACGAAGGTTGTGAAAGGAAAGAAATTAAAGGCCAACGGCTGATAAATGGTAAGTCAACTAATAAGAGAGTCAACTCACAGCCTAACGCCCTGTTTGGAGAATGATATTTTAATGGGAAAAAAAATTGTTCTTTTCATTGACGTGAAAGCAAAAAGTTTCTAGCCATGATATTATTAAAGGGGAATAACAGTTAAGTCTACAAAAACTGAATTAATGATAGTTAGATTTTTGAGCAAAAATTTTTAAAAATAAATTAAAAATATTAATTTAAATAATTATAAATTTAAAAGTTTCAATTGCAAATGATACTTTAAGTTTTAAATGTAACTTAATTGTAATTCTTATTTATACTCATGTGAATCAGTATTTATGATTTATTTTTTTAAAAAAATTATCAAGGACCTAACTATGTTTATCATTCCCTTTACTCGCTGGCAAAACTATGTTTGTTAAAAATTAGTGTGATAAAACTTAGTTATTGTATAAGGATTTTTGTTTGGATATATTTTCAATAGTCTATTTAGTATGAAAGTTGTTTGGATTTTTTTATCAAAAAAATTGTTTGGATGATTTGCAATAAAAAATATTTTTAAATGTATAATTATTAAAAGGGCCATGTATTTTATATGTGTAATTTTTGTTCTATAAAATTTGATACGTTAAAAAAATTAAATAATATAAACTTCGACGTGTTAGTGTATACATAATAAAATCTATAAATATTATAACATGTCTGTGTGTATATTTATGTGCTTGTATATATTTAGTCTCATAGAATATTAAATATAGATTAAATTGTACATTTTGTCATCTAACTTTATATAAAATTTTAGTTTAATTTTTTAATTTTATAAAATATCTTTTCTGTCATTTAATTCTAAAATTTTAGTTTCAAAATATTATTTTTTATAACAATCATTGTTATTTTAAAAATTAAACATGTTAACATTGGAGAATATTTTTTCAATATTTAAATGAAAATTTTTTTATTGATGAGACTAACAATGTTGAGATTATATGACTAAAAAGATATTTTATAAAATTAAGATATTACAATAAAAACTTGCATAAAATATTAAAGGATTAAAGATATATTTTATCCTTAAATATATTTCTATATAACATAAATGTTTGTATATAATATTAAATGAGTAAAAGTATATAAATATAAATGTTTTTTCACCAAGTTTAAATATGAAATTTTAATTTGTTTTTCATAATTTCATGTAATTGTATATTATAGTCTAAAAGTTCTGAATATACTTTCAAATTGAAAAATTTAAAAGCCAAAAGTAAATAAGAAAATTCATATGACTTTCTCAAATGTGCCTTTGGAAGATGATTTTTTTTTTTTTTGGGGTTTGAAAAATCAACTTGTAAAATCTAAATATATCATTCTAGCCAAAGATGAATACAAGGGCTTTTGAAATCTAAAAGTGCAAACCAAACATGTACCTATCAACCGCGTGGAAGAAAGTGAGCAATAAAACCGCGTGAAATTGGTTCAATAAGTGGCATCGAGAACACACGCATAAGGGAAGCTAGTTTCCAAAGGCTGCTTCGCGGATATTTCGAGGAGAATTTTTCCTGAAATGCCAGTGAAGCTGCCATCCATAATGACAATTTAATGATTTATACAGTGAAAATTTGGATTAATTTAAATGGAAGTGAGGGTGAAGATAAGTCAAACCTATAACTGGAGCCTACAGTTTGATCCACTTTAAATTTAGCTTAACTTATTTATTAAATAAATTTAAATTAAATTCAAACTTTTAATTAAATCTATTTAATTAAATAGATCATGCCTATTTTTTTAAGATCTAACGTACAAGCTCAATAGACCAGCTTATATATATTAGACAAAAATACATAAAACCCCCCCTAAATTTTGTAACAATTGCATACAACCTCTCTCACTTTTAAAAGTTTAAAATTAACTCCATTAACCTTTAATTTTATTTTTCAAAACCCCCTATTATTAATTATGTTATTTTTTTCATGAAGGTTAAAATGTCATTCAACTAAAAAATCTCATTAAACAAAAATATTATATTTTTTAACTATTTATTATGATTTTTTTATATTTTTTTAGATAGTTGAGGTATTGATAATAAAAAAAATTATTATCATTGCATAAAATTTTAAATATTTATATTAGTTTTATCCTTTTTTGTTATTAATGGTGCATGATTTTATTGTTTTAAAAGATAAATTTTTATTTATTTTTCATATTAGATCAATGTAATGCACATGGCTAAAATATTTAAATTTTAAATTTTAAATATTAGATAAATTTTAAAATTTATCTAACACAGTAATATTTAAAAATTTAAAATATTTTAGTCATGTACATTGCATTAATCTAACATGAAAAATAAATAAAAAATTATCTTTTAAAACAATAACATCATGCACCATTGATCATAAAAAAACATGGATAAAACTAATATAAACATAGATATTTAAAATTTTATACAATGATAACAACATTTTTTTTGTGTTATCAATGCCTCAACTATTCAAAAATATAAAAAATTTATTATATATAATTATACAACATAATATTTTTATTTAATAACATTTTTTAGTTGAATGACATTTTAATCCTCATGAAAAAATAACGTAATTAATAATAGGAGGTTTTCAAAAATAAAATTAAAGGTTGGCAGGTTAATTTTAAATTTTTAAAAGTGAGTGGGATTATATGTAACCGTTTTAAAGTTCAGAGAGTTTTATTCATTGTAGCCTATATATTATGTAATATATCACAAATATATCAGTTTCATCATTTAATTTTTAATCAATATATTCTTTTTTTATTTCTTGTTATATTTTGAATTATATTAGATTTATATATTAATCATAATGTTATTATTTTATTGTTATATTGTATTGTACTTTATAAGCCTTTTTAATTATTATATATTGTAATTAATAAATTAAGCTATATATTATATATTATAATAGTCATAAAATATATTTGAGACGTTTAAAATTAAAATGGGAACTTATTTAAAATGCTTACTTTTAAGTAAGCTTTTAAATAGGCTTTTAGGTCAGGTCAGATTTTAGGTAGGTTCAGGCTTGAGCTATGAAAAAAAACTTACACAAGTTTCAAGCCAAGCTCAAATTTTTAATTTACTACACACACTCAAGCTTATTTAATTAAAGTCTAGTTTGGCCTAACTTATTTTCACCCCTAAATGGAAGAGGATAATGCTCTTACATTTTTTAAAAGTCAAGGAATGAAATAAAAAAATAAAAAAAAGTTGAGTTCTAATTTACTTTTTTAGTTTTTTTATAAATTATTTTTATCAATCTTATCAATATTAATGCAATAAAATAAAAAAGTGATAAAAGTGTGTAGAATTTTAAACATACCCCTATATAATAAATCTAAAAAATAATATCATGTTATCTTTCACTCACTCAAGAATGATAATTTTAAAAATATTTTTTAAATATTATCTAAAAAGCTGCACCGTAACTTAAAAATAAAATAAAATAAATATTTTAAAATATATTTTATAAATAAAATTGAAGAAAATACATAACAAGAATTGACTTCTCTCAATTGATTTCCAATTTATATAAAGGGAGTTGACTTTTTTAAATTTGCTTTTTTCCTCAACTTCCCCATAATTATTGTAACATCCTAATTTTTATATAATAAAAAAATTATGAAATTTAGGTTTTGAGGAAAAAAAATGATAATAATAGAAATTTATATTATTTGAGGTTATTTAGAAATAATATTATGATTAGGTATTTAATTATGAATTTAAAAATTTAAATTTAAAACCACATAAGCAATATTTAGTTAAGATATAATACATAAATAATTTTTTTTTATGTGTGTGTTAAAAAAAAGAAAGAAGGTAGAAGGAACAAAAAAAACGGGGGGTGGAAGGTTATTGTTTCTAAGTCCCACATTGGTTAGATGAAGGAAGAGAAGAGGTGCCTTCATGTATAAAAAGGAGGGGGTGTGTGCATTACGAAGCATAAGAGGCTAAGATGCAATTTAGAGGAAATTGCAACTTTTGGCCCAAAGGTTTGAATAATTAAATTCAAACCTTAGTTTTTTTTAATATAATTTTGGGACTCACAATCCTATTTTTATATTATTTTTCTCTCTTCCTCTCACGTTGCTCGGCGTTTTCTCGTAAGGGGGATTATTTTCTTTTTCTTCAGGTATGTTTTAACTTTCCTGTTTAGATTAGCATTTAAAAATTTATTTAATTACAAAATTAATTTTATAGTTATTTTCTAAATAATATTAGCTTTCTAGTGATATGATTATTTTGTAGGATAGAGTAAATATTTTGATTAAGATTTTTCTATAGGATAGTTAATCTGATGATATGATGGATTAAAAATATAGGTTAAAACTCTTAGGGATATAATAAATATTATAGAATATTTTCTTGAGGTTGAAACTCATGTTTAAGAATTTTTGAGTTAAAATCTAAATCTATATGGTTGAATTTATGTGGAATCTGAGATGTAGGGATAAACCTATGATTATTAAATATTTATTTAAGTATGAATAGGTATTTTTGAGGTTATAGAAAGGTGATTTGAGGCTTCAGGATAATTTTAAATTTTTTAATTTATTTTTGGACGAATTTTTAGAATATAGAAGGATGAAATTGTGATACTAGAAGTGATTTGAGGATAAAAAAATAGTTTATTAGGGTACGAGAATTTTAGAAAAGAATTTGGGAAGTTAGATGAGGCATAAATCTTAAATTAGTGTTAATATGGATTATAGATCTAAGACTTTCTAACTATTTAAATTAGAGTTATTTATTTTAATGTAAAATTAATATATAGTATTGTGAAATAATTATGTAGATTATATTGACAAAGATAGTGGTGAAAAAGGAGTTGTGAAGGGGAACTTGTTATTCAAGACACAAGGTAACCATTATTAATGTGTTGTGATGGGTGTGTTTGTGAATGGTTATGTGTTGTTTTGTTGTTTGGAAAAATTATGAA